CTTCTTGGGAAGAAACCTACATTGTAAAGGAAGATGTCTTTTAACAAATCTGTGTTGTCTGTCATTAATTAACTTATGTTTTCCTAAGTGAAAATTAATATTGTCCCGGTTTATGGTCTCTAGAGGTTTCCCCACCACTGACGTTGGACTGAATGGCTTGTAGTTATCTGGTTTATCTCTCTCCCCTTTTTTGAACAGGGGTTTAACATTTGTATCCCTCCAGTCCTCAGGCATTACTCCCATATCCAAGGAGTATTAAAGATTGTGGCCAGAGCCTCCGATATTTCCACCTTAGCTTCCCTCAGTAACCTAGGATGCATCCCATCCGGAACAGATAACTTTTCTACTTTGAGTACTGCTAACCTTTTAAGTACCTCCTCTTTATCCATTTTTATCCGATCCAATTTCTCTACCTCCTCCTCCTTTATTGTGGCATTGGCAGCATCTTCTTTTGTGAAGACAGATGCAAAGTATTCATTCAGTACCTCAGCCATGACCTCTGCAAGAAGTTTTCCTTTTTGCTTTCTAATAAGCCTCATCCTTCCTATGACCATCCTTTTACTCTGTATATGTTTATAGAAAACTTGTGTTCCCTTTTATGTTACCTGATAATCTTTTCTCATACTCTCTCTTTGCCCTTCTCCTCTGTACTTTTTGTATTCTACTTGATTCTCTAGTGTATTTTGAACCTGACATTTATCGTAAACCTTCTTTTCCTGTTTCATTTTAATCCCAATTTCCTCAGTGATCCAGGAAGCTCTAGCTTTAGATGCACTACCTTTCCCCCTCATGGGAACATGTTTGGTCTGTACCCTAACTATTTCCTCCTTGAAGGCCTCCCGATGCTAGTTTACTGTTTTTCACCTGCAGCTCACCAACCTTACACTCCGTGCATTTACGCACATGCACTCTAAAACTGCATTTGTCTGCTTTGCATTTTCCCCTGTCTGATCCCTCCTCTTTCTGGACTACTCTTTATTCCAAAGTTATTCGTCTATCCCAGTCCTCCATATTCCTTGTTCCTCCTCTCTGATGCTACTTTGTGGTACCCCACCCTTACCAAATTAGTTTAAACCCTTCCCCCACAGCACTAGTTCACCTCCCCCGAGCAGTAAGTAGTAACTCAGTTGTTAGTCGATTGGCAGATCACTTTCTGGGGGTAATAATCCCTTCAAAAATATAATAATAATAATTTAATCACTCAATCCACAACTATTTGTGGGACCCTGCCACGTTTACACATCTGTCACATTTTGCCCACAAAATACAGTCAATTCACTTGATAGTATATTCTATGAAGCACTTTGAGACATCTCGAAGACATGATAAGGCACTGTATCAAATGCAAGGATTATTATTATTAGATAAATGCAATTTGTTGGTTGTTGTTGTAACCCCCCCTCCCCCCAGCCAACTAAGAATGGCATGCCAATTATGTAACTGAAATTGCACCAAAGCCAGGAAAATACTGACATTTATAATGTCACTTTTATTTTAATAGGCAGCAGTTGCTCTTTCAGGGTCTTGGTAAAATGTACGAAAATAAAACACAATATTTCGCTCATTTTATTTAAAGATATACTTCCTGTTGGATATAAAGATAAACATTTTTGTCAGTATTTTTCCTTCAGGAACCATTGTCTTTTTAACACTATATACAACAACAAAATTACATTTATAGAGTGTCTTTCATGTGGAGAGGACATCCCAAGGCGATGGACAGTCAGGGGTCAGGACCCGAGCATGGGGGAGGGGTAGGGAAGGCAGAGAGGTGGGTGGGTGACTGAAGGCACGATCGAAGAGGAGGGTCTTGAGACCGGCCTTGAAGGAGACAAGGTAGGAAGTGAGGTGAAGGGATGGGATGGAATACAAGAGTGTGGGGGCAGAGAGGCTGAAAGCCCGGCCACCGATGGAAGGGCGGGTCGGGCGGGAGACAGGGAGCAGGCTGGAGCCCACTGAACGGAGAGAGTGGGCAGGTTGTGTATATGTGCACGAGTGCAGCAACTGCAATAATTCACATTCCCTTTTCAAGATAATGATATGGAAGGACTATTTTATATACAGACATATCCTCAGCTTGCATCATCTTGCCATTTGTATTGATATGAATACATGATCTAATGCTATCTTGATATTCTACATTAACATTGTTTTTTTCAGTTCTAAATGTATTATTTCCACTGTTTGTCCAGTCAGAACCAACCTACACAATATGGCTTTGGCTAGCAGTGTTAATAGGATCTAAGTGGGTAGAGTCCCTGCCCTCAGTGATTGGTCTGCCTATCCTTCAGCCAACCTTCTGTGATGGTCTCAGTCATCCAAGACTCAGGAATTTGGATGACTGAGACCATCACAGAAGGTTGGCTGAATTTAAACATTCTGTTGCCAAGCATATTACCTCAAAGCCAGCTCACCCCATGCTATAATGGTGATAAATCTCAAGAAGCCATTATGTTTGTAAGTGCACACATTTAGTTACCTTATAGCTTTTTCCCTTCACTAGTCTTAAGTAAAAAACCATAACATGATTCCTTAAAGGTTCTAAGGAGGTCAGTGGACTCACCTACCAAATAGTACTTCTTTCAGATGATTAAGGTGTAGATTAATAATAATAATAATAATCCTTGCATTTGATATAGCGCTTTTCACATCGGGAGGATGTCCAAAGCGCTTCACAGAACACACTATAAAGTGAATTGACTGTATATTTGTGGGCGAACGCGGCAGCCAATTGCGCACAGCAATGTCCCACAAACAGTCGTAGATTGAAAATGACCAATTTATTATTGCTTTTGGAGGGATTATTATTAGGCTCTGTGTGAAATAAGGAAACTTGCCCAAGATTTCGCCCTGCCTGGAATTGAACTCAGGTCTTTGGTGATAGGCATTTCCACCACTAGATAGGCATTTGGTGGTGGAAGAGGTGCAAAAATCATGTTTAAGAGAGAAATAGATAGGAAGTCCTCAACTGGGGGTGGGGAGAGAGAGAGAGAACTCAGAGAGCCAAGTAAATAAAAACAATAATCCTTGCATTTGATATAGCGCTTTTCATGTCTTCTAGACGTCTCAAAGCGCTTCACAGAATATACTGTAAAGTGAATTGACTGTATATTTGTGTGCCAATCCGTGACTGCCCAGTGATGGGGGGGGGGCTCAGGAACCATTCCCTGGGGACTTGGGAAGTATTCCAATTCCCCATATAGCCAGTCCCACTCCTGTTGTGACGAGTGATCAATTGGACTCTCCAAGTAACACTTTCACCGTCTTTTTCAGTGGCACTCAATGTCGGTCCTTTTAACAGCTCATTGATTAAAGAAGTGCGTCTCAGTTGTAAGAGTCGCATCGCTTCCCACTTTTCCAAGTCATGTCATTCCCCCCCAAAAAAGGAGGAGAAGGGCATGAGATCTTAGCCTCTCCGCCAGTGCCATTCAATAACCAGAAAGTACTCTTAGGCAATGAGACCAGACTTGTTTCACTCAATGTGTCCCAAGAGGAATTAACGCGCTGTTGCCAGAGTCTGTCTGTCTGTCTGTCTGTCTGTGTCTCACTCAGTGTCTCGGGGGAACCCCAGAAACACGGCGACAACATTGCCGGATCGTTCCACGAGCAAAACGGAGTCCGCAAACTTAACGGGGACTTTTAGCACAAACACCGAGAGCAGCTAAACATGACCACAGTACCTCGACCGGTATAAAGTTCCTGCGGGAAATCGGGGCGGTGAGCCTCCCAACAACCAACCGAGTGCTGGAGGTTCCTGTCCACCTTTTTTAGAGCAGCAAAAAAAAATAAAGCCGATCGCAGCATCACTGGGGGTGTGGGGGGTGTGTGGGGGTGTGAGGGGGGGGGGGGTTTGGGGGGGGGGTCAGTTTGCAATGAACCCCACTCATTGCCATCCGTGGTCTGCGATTCTGACCATTTAACACCTCGCAGTCGTTTTTTTTTACTCAACCTGTTAAAAAGTAGATAGAACACTCCGAGAGTGGGGGTTTTTTTTTAAAATTAAAAACATTTAATTTTTTTTAAATTCAAAAAAAAACACAAAACGCACAGACACACACACACACACAGAGAGAGAGACACACACACACACAGCACGAGTTTAAACCACAGCCCCTGCAATCTCCACCACTGTCACCAGAGCCCTCCATCCTTACTTGGTCGAGAGAGGAATCGCGGCCGCCGAGCGCTGTGGGGACCACACACACCCGTTAACCTGACCCTAACCGGGAAGTTGGTGTGTGCAGAGTTATTATTATTTTTTTTTGGGGGGGGGGTTTAAAAAAAAAATACCCAAACCACTCTGCCCGGGATCAAAAGGATTTTTCCTCCAGTCGAGTGCGACGCGCGAGTTTAGTGTCACCGGTGACACCGAAACCGCAGACACCCGCTGTCGAGAGTCGTGATGTCGTTTCCCCCCTCTGAAGTCTTAACAAAAGTCCGTAACGCACAACGTTAGCAACAAAAAAAAAACCACCAAAAAAAAAACCACCAAAAAAAAAAAAAACAAACCCCTTCGCGGTATTCCGCTGCCTTTCCAGTGGATGATAACTTGTAACGTGCGGTGATGCAAAACCAACTGGTGGCAAAGGAAACGGTCCTGAACGGCGATGGGGAATGGAACTCGTCGCGTTAAAGCGCGCACCGCCTCCACACACCCCCCCCCCCCGCGTTATAAGCAGAGAGAAAAAAAACCCGCGAACTTTACTGCCAACGCGCTCTCGAGCGCAGCTCAAGATTTGCCGAGAGAGGGAAACCCCGTCGTGGGGTGGGGTGGGGTGGGTGGGGGGTGGTGGGGGTTGTTGGTGGGTGGGTGGGGGGGTGGGGGGTGGGTGCGGGGTGGGTGGGGGGTGGTGGTGGGGGTGGTGGTGGTGGGTGGGTGGGGGGTGGGTGGTGGGGGGTGGGTGGTGGGGGTGGTGGTGGGGGTGGGGTGGGGGTGGGTGCGGGGTGGGTGGGGGGGTGGTGGTGGGTGGGATGGGATGCGAATCCCTTCGAACACTTACCGGCGTTTCTTAATTTTTTATTTCTCAAGACGGACCCGATGACGAGGAAGTTGCCGAAGATGTCCACCACGGTGGTGAAGATGAGCGCCCCGGCCAGCGCCGTCACCACCCCGGCCGGGCGGGAGGTCCCTTCCGACGCCGGAGACCTCTCCGAAGCCGAATAATTCCTCAGCGAGACATTGTGTGGCATAGCGGAGCTTCGGGGATCCCCCCCTCTCCCCCCGTGTCCACGGCTCTCGTGGTCCTCCCTCGAAGCGCCCGCGACCAGAGAGAGAGAGAGAGAGAGGGAAGGAGAGAGGGGGAGAGGGAGGGAGGGAGAGAGAGGGAGAGAGAGAGAGAGAGAGAGAGAAGCCCGAATGGGACGCTCTCTACGGCAGCAAATAGTGGGATCTGTTCCCTTTTGCGCCCATCCGGAGAGGGCGACCGGGTTTTTAACGGTTGCAAATGTGTTACGCCGACCAGTGAAGTGTTCGGTATTGATTAGGTCGCAGGTGGGCGGAGGCACCGACACACCTTACCTTTTTATCTCTCTCTCTCTCTCTCTCTCTCTGTCTCTCTCTATCTCTGTCTCTGCCCCTCTCTATCTTTATCTCTCTGCCCCCCCCCTCTCTCTCTCTATGCCCCTCTCTCTCTCTCTCTGCCCCCCCTCTCTCTCTCTTTGTCTCTCTGCCCCTCTCTCTCTCTCTCTGTCTCTCTGCCCCTCTCTCTGTCTCTCTGCCCCCCCCCTCTCTCTCTCTCTGTCTCTCTGCCCCTCTCTCTCTCTCTCTGCCCCCCCCCCCTCTCTCTCTCTCTGTCTCTCTCCCCCCCCCTCTCTCTCTCTGTCTCTCTGCCCCTCTCTCTCTCTCTCTCTGTCTCTCTGCCTCTCTCTCTCTGTCTCTCTGCATCCACAAGAAAGCTGTGGTGTTGGTGACCGGTTGGATAATAGATCAGCAGCAGTCACCGATCAGCCACCGAACCAGCCATCCGAAACTGGGAGTGATTTCATGGCCATCTGGCAAGTCACACAGGGGGGGGAGAAGAGCAAAGCCCCTGCAAGAGTGAGGAATGGTGACACCGATGAAGGATCGCGCAGAGGGAGGAAGGAAGGAAGGACACTGACACGGGAGCTGTCACCCACCCTATCGGCTGACCGACCATATGGCGCTCGCCACAGCGAAAGGGGAGTCGTTCAGGGTTAACGCTGCGAGGACGGGATTTCGGGGGAGCAAACGGACACATTTCAGCCACGTATCACATACATAGAGTAGTGTGAATCTATACTATTAATATACTATTAACACATGCATCCCCCCTCTCTCTCTCTCTCTCTTTCTCTCTCTCTCTCTCTCTCTCTCTATATATATATATAAACAAGAAGCCGCGTTGCTTGGATTATATGCAATGATTGTAAAAAGTGATCACGAACTGCAATGAGATAAATACATTGATTGCTTCCAAGTTGCTGGAATGTCGCTTCAATCTGAAAGCCTGTACACTGGGGGGGAGCAGTCTCAGCACAATTGTATGTGATTGATTTAAAATGACCTCCCTGCCAGCCTTTCCCCCCCCCCCACCCCACCTCCCACCTCCCGAGAGCAAGTGCATTCCCGGGTACCAGGCAATACATCACATTATCTGAGACCTGTGTGTGACAGACAGACAGACAGGAAAACTGCCGACAAGTTTATGTTTCTCAATGCACAGATGTGCTGCGCTCAGATCATGAATGGGATTACTGTGATCGCGAGCACAAGATATTTCTCTCTCTCTCTCTCTCTCTTTGTCTGACCTGTTTTCGTTTGTTCAGCTAAATAAAAGTGAACAAGTCGTAGTGAACCCAGGGGGAAAGCAATTGCACCCAGTGTCTGATCTGGGGGCGAGTGTTGCTATTCGCAGCTTTTCGACAGTGCACAGAGGCATTGCCGCCTCTCGTATATTCAGGGCAGTGTTTCGCAACCACTGCGTTTGCAGCTGGAGCTGATCTCTAAACTCTTGGAGTCGGATCATTTTTGAATGAATTTTCTACAGCTGAATCACGTGTGTCTTTAAAGCCCCCCCCCGACCCCATCTCCTCCCCCCTCCCCTCCTCCCAACCTGACGCTGCCGAAGGTTCACTGTGCGATCACTCAGCCGCGGTCGCACATACACTCCCAGATGTTATCTTTTTTAACGCGCAATGTGGGGTCGATCGCGAACAACTTGGAGGTTAAGCGACGTGCAATGTGTGGCTCTGTGTGTGATGTTGCCTTTTGCTTTGCTGTGGTGGGGTAAGACAGTCAAACGTATTGGGTTTTTTTTTCGGTGAAGACATTTGCTGTAATGCATCCAAACTTCCTATTGGAAGTGCAGTATAATTCGTATCAGTGCTGGGGGTGGAGGGGGGGGGTGTAGCTGGTGTTTGTTTGCAATGTGTCTCATACCCCATCGTAACAAAAGGCTGTAATAAAACACGAATATTACTAATACCCAAAGGGAGAAATGTGTCACAATTCATTTATTTCCTCCTCAAATCGGCAAAGTCCCAACAGTATTACCAATCAGCTTTGAGAAATAATTCCCCTTTTAATTGCCATTTGTGCACGAAGCACTCAGTTTGGTTCAGACTACAAAAAGCCCAGACCGTGATCTCCAGGGAGGCTTTATCAGATCAGCAGGAAAATCTGCTTTGCCGGCGATTAAGAAGTTCGGAGGAAGAAATTGTGTTCCCTGATCGGAAACGTTGGTTTGCATCTATTTTCTGGTACCGTTGGTGGCATTGCAAAGCGTTTAATAGTCTCCAAAAAAAGCAAATCCGCGTGGGAGTCTCTCTCTGGCATTGCACGCATTTTTAAAATTGTATCTGTGTTTGAAGGGTGACATCAAGCAACTCAACTGTGCAGAGCAGAGCTTTGCTCAATTCTGTTAGTCCCACAAGAATATGGTCCCTTATACATAATAATAATAATAATAATAATAATCCTTGCATTTGATATAGCGCTTTTCACGTCAGGAGGACGTCCCAAAGCGCTTCACAGAACACACTGTAAAGTGAATTGACTGTATATTTGTGGGCGAACGCGGCAGCCAATTGCGCACAGCAATGTCCCACAAACAGTCGTAGATTGAAAATGACCAATTTAATTATTGTTTTTGGTTTTGGAGGGATTATTATTAGGCGTGTGGAGTAAGGAAACTTGCCCAAGGTTTCGCCCTCTGCCTGGAACTGAACTCAGGTCTCTCACTTGCAAAGCGAGTGCTCTAACCACTGAGCTACAGGACTCCACCGAACTCCATGACCGGTTATGACAAATGTGAAGGCACCAGGAACTTATAGTCATTCCACCAATGGAAATATTTCTGGCATTGCATGTAATCGGCGCATAAATGTACTTTCAAATGAAAAGATTTTTTAATAAAGGTTTTTGAGGAATTGTGTATCTCTGCAGAGCAGTTGTGCTATGTGTGGGGAGGTTTATTTGTTTTTATCTCCAGGGATATTTGCCCATAAAACTGTTAGATTAGAGGTTATTGGATACGAAATTGAATGCATAACACCTACTGCGAGCGCTAGTGAGACAGTGTACATCACACAATCATAAGTTTTAATGATAAATTGGTTTATATCGATTCTTCCATTCTATCGAACTCAGCTCTCACTTGTTAAAACTTCCGTTCCCAGGAATGAATATGGGTTTGGAGTGTAAATATGTGTATGTGGAGTGGGTGGGGGTCGCCTCATTTTTATTCCCACGTGTATTGGGCTATGTTGAATAATAATAATAATCCTTGCATTTGATTCAGCACCTTATCACATCGTTGAGACGTCTCAACGCGCTTCAGAGAATATATTGTAAAGTGAATTGACTGTATTTTGTAGGCGAAATGCGGCAACCAATTATAATTATAATTATACTAGCACTGGTTACCCTCTGTGCAAAGATCAATGATTTATTTTCGAAAAAATGTTAAAAATAGAATGCACTGTTGAGTATGTAGATGGTTTCTCCTTGTTGAGTAAACAGCAATGTAATTTTTTTCCCCATGTTCTTTTGTTGTTTATACATGAGCTAGACTGTTAATGATAATAAGAAACAATGTTATCTTCTGAAGAATAAATTGTGTTCTAAAGAATTTCCTTCAGAACCGTTTTTCAAAATGTGCTTAATATTTTGCTAGGAGCTGCCTCCAATAGAACAAACAGAATAGCCTAACAACAACAAGATTACAGTTGCATAGCGCCTTTCACGTTGGGGGGATGTCCCCAGGCGCTGGACAGTGTACAGCATTTCTGACCCGAGCTGGGGTTGGGGGGGAAAGGAGGGGAGGGGAAGGGGGGTGGCCGATGGCATGGTCGAAGAGGAGGGTTTTGAGGCGGGACTTGAAGGAGGCTAAGGAGGGGATGAGGCGGAGTGATTGGGGGATGGATTTCCAGAGGTTGGGGGCAGAGTGGCTGAAGGCTCTCCCGTCAATAGTGAGGCGGGTGGGTCGGGGGACGTGGAGCAGGCCAGAGCCTGCTTAACAAGAGAGAATGAACGTAGTTATTCCCCTACTTAATAATAATAATAATAATAATCCTTGCATTTGATATAGCGCTTTTCACGTCGGGAGGACGTCCCAAAGCGCTTCACAGAACACACTGTAAAGTGAATTGACTGTATATGTGTGGGCGAACGCGGCAGCCAATTGCGCACAGCAATGTCCCACAAACAGTCGTAGATTGAAAATGACCAATTTATTATTGTTTTGTTTTTTGGAGGGATTATTATTAGGCGTGTGGAGTAAGGAAACTTGCCCAAGGTTTCGCCCTCTGCCTGGAATTGAACTCAGGTCTCTCACTTGCAAAGCGAGTGCTCTAACCACTGAGCTACAGGACTCCACAATTCCTTAAGTGGAATTGTCATTCTGGCTCAGTTAGAATCATAGATATTTACAGTGCAGAAGGAGGTCATTGGCTCATCAAGTCTCCACCAGCTGTCAGAGCAAGCTTGCTTTCAATCCCATTGCCCTACTCTATCCCCTTACTGCTTCAAGCCTCTAACTTTCATACAGCTGTATACTTCCCCCCTTCAAACCTACAATGGGCTCTGCTTCTACCACCTTACTTTGCCGGGCATTCCACATTCCAGCAACTCTCTGGGTGAAAATAAAATCTTCTAAACTCTCTTTCGACTCTTTGTGTGGCTCTTGGTGAATATAATAAGCGGGCGGGGCGGGGGGTGAGGGGTGGGGGGG